GAGTTGGCGCCCTCGGGAAGGGGCTGGAGTATCATTTTTTTCCCAACCCTCCTGCGTTGGGTACTCGTTTTGAATAGAGCACTGCGGTCTCCACCTTCCTTCCTTCCTTCCCGCCTCCTCCTCCTCTCTTCCCTCTTCCTCTCCTCTCTTGCTTCCCTTCTCCGCCTCTCTTCGCTCCTCCTCTTCTCTCTTGCATCCCTTCTCCTCTCTTCGCTCCTCCTCTCTTGCTTCCCTTCTCCTCCTCTCTTCGCTCCTCCTCTTCTCTCTTGCCTTTTACGTCATCCCTTTGGGGCTGCGATCTGTGAAACTGTCGCCACTTTCGAGGGCTGCTGGTGGGTCCAGCGTAGTGAGGCACCACGCAGATTCAGATTAGACCTCGCCATCCCTCGGGGGCTGCGATCTGCGAAACTGTCACCGCTTTCGAGGGCTGCTGGTGGGTCCAGCGGAGTGAGGCACCACGCAGATTCAGATTAGACCTCGCCATCCCTGGGGGGCTGCGATCTGCGAAACTGTCGCCACATTCGAGGGCTGGTGGGTCCAGCGGAGTGAGGCACCACGCAGATTCAGATTAGACCTCGACTTTCGAGGGCTGCTGGTGGGTCCAGCGGAGTGAGGCACCACGCAGATTCAGATTAGACCTCGCCATCCCTGGGGGTTTGCGATCTGCGAAATTGTCGTCACTTTCGAGGGCTGCTGGTGGGTCCAGCGGAGTGAGGCACCACGCAGATTCAGATTAGACCTCGCCGTCCCTGGGGGGCTGCGATCTGCGAAACTGTCGTCACTTTCGAGGGCTGCTGGTGGGTCCAGCGGAGTGAGGCACCACGCAGATTCAGATTAGACCTCGCCATCCCTGGGGGGCTGCGATCTGCGACACTGACGCCACATTCGAGGGCTGCTGGTGGGTCCAGCGGAGTGAGGCACCACGCAGATTCAGATTAGACCTCGCCATCCTTGGGGGGCTGCGATCTGCGACACTGTCGCCACATTCGAGGGCTGAGGGTGGGTCCAGCGGAGTGAGGCACCACGCAGACTCAGATTAGACCTCGCCATCCCTGGGGGGCTGCGATCTGCGACACTGACGCCACATTCGAGGGCTGCGATCTGCGAAACTGCCGTCACTTTCGAGGGCTGCTTGTGGGTCCAGCGGAGTGAGGCACCACGCAGATTCAGATCAGACCTCGCCATCCCTGGGGGGCTGCGATCTGCGACACTGTCGCCACTTTCGAGGGCTGCTGAGGGGCACAGCACGGTGGGTACTCACCGCAGACTCAGATTAGACCTCGCCATCCTTGGGGGGCTGCGATCTGTGAAACTGTCGCCACTTTCGAGGGCCGCAGACTCAGACTAGACCTCGCCATCCCTGGGGGGCTGCGATCTGTGAAACTGTCGCCACTTTCGAGGGCTGCTGAGGGGCACAGCACAGTGGGTACTCGCAGACTCAGATTAGACCTCGCCATCCCTGGGGGGCTGCGATCTGTGAAACTGTCGCCACTTTCGAGGGCTGCTGAGGGGCCAGCACAGTGGGTACTCACCGCAGATTCAAATTAGACCTCGCCATCCCTGGGGGGCTGCGATCTGTGGAACTGTCGCCACTTTCGAGGGCTGCTGAGGGGCACAGCACAGTGGGTACTCACCGCAGACTCAGATTAGACCTCGCCATCCTTGGGGGGCTGCGATCTGTGAAACTGTCGCCACTTTCGATGGCTGCTGAGGGGCCCAGCGCAGTTGGTACTCACCGCAGAGTCAGATTAGACTCGCCATCCCTGGGGGGCTGCGATCTGCGACACTGTCGCCACTTTCGAGGGCTGCTGAGGGGTCCAGCACACTGGGTACTCACCGCAGAGTCAGATTAGACCTCGCCATCCCTGGGGGGGCTGCGATCTGTGAAACTGTCGCCACTTTCGAGGGCTGCTGAGTGGCCCAGCACAGTGGGTACTCACCGCAGGCTCAACTTGGACCTCGTCATCTCTGGGGGGGCTGCGATCTGTGAAACTGTCGTTACTTTCGAGGGCTGCTGAGGGACCCAGCACAGTGGGTACTTACCGCAGGCTCAAATTAGACCTCGCAATCCCTGGGGGGCTGCGATCTGTGAAACTGTCGCCACTTTCGAGGGCTGCTGAGGGGCCGAGCACGGTGGGCTTCCCGCACGTTTTTCTTTTGCTCGTCGTTCCCGACTCCCCATGTCCTCTTCGAGCCTGTAGCTGTCGCCCCTCTTTCTTGTACGGTTCTCCTGCACATCATGTCATAGGCGCGTGTCCCAAGTAGCTTACATATCAAACAACGGATCCTGCAATTTGATTGTCCATGCAAGTTTCGGCCAACTCCTCGTTTCCCATGATACAAATGGGTTGGGTACGTCGCCAGGGTGATTTCCCAACCCTCCTGCGTTGGGTACTCGTTTTGAATAGAGCACTGCGGTCTCCACCTTCCTTCCTTCCCGTCCTCCTCCTCTCTTCCCTCTTCCTCTCCTCTCTTGCTTCCCTTCTCCGCCTCTCTTCGCTCCTCCTCTTCTCTCTTGCATCCCTTCTCCTCTCTTCGCTCCTCCTCTCTTGCTTCCCTTCTCCTCCTCTCTTCGCTCCTCCTCTTCTCTCTTGCCTTTTACGTCATCCCTTTGGGGCTGCGATCTGTGAAACTGTCGCCACTTTCGAGGGCTGCTGGTGGGTCCAGCGGAGTGAGGCACCACGCAGATTCAGATTAGACCTCGCCATCCCTGGGGGGCTGCGATCTGCGAAACTGTCGCCACATTCGAGGGCTGCTGGTGGGTCCAGCGGAGTGAGGCACCACGCAGATTCAGATTAGACCTCGCCATCCCTGGGGGGCTGCGATCTGCGAAACTGTCGTCACTTTCGAGGGCTGCTGGTGGGTCCAGCGGAGTGAGGCACCACGCAGATTCAGATTAGACCTCGACTTTCGAGGGCTGCTGGTGGGTTCAGCGGAGTGAGGCACCACGCAGATTCAGATTAGACCTCGCCATCCCTGGGGGTTTGCGATCTGCGAAATTGTCGTCACTTTCGAGGGCTGCTGGTGGGTCCAGCGGAGTGAGGCACCACGCAGATTCAGATTAGACCTCGCCGTCCCTGGGGGGCTGCGATCTGCGAAACTGTCGTCACTTTCGAGGGCTGCTGGTGGGTCCAGCGGAGTGAGGCACCACGCAGATTCAGATTAGACCTCGCCATCCCTGGGGGGCTGCGATCTGCGACACTGACGCCACATTCGAGGGCTGCTGGTGGGTCCAGCGGAGTGAGGCACCACGCAGATTCAGATTAGACCTCGCCATCCTTGGGGGGCTGCGATCTGCGAAACTGTCGCCACATTCGAGGGCTGAGGGTGGGTCCAGCGGAGTGAGGCACCACGCAGATTCAGATTAGACCTCGCCATCCCTGGGGGGCTGCGATCTGCGACACTGACGCCACATTCGAGGGCTGCGATCTGCGAAACTGTCACCACTTTCGAGGGCTGCTGGTGGGTCCAGCGGAGTGAGGCACCACGCATATTCAGATTAGACATCGCCATCCCTGGGGGGCTGCGATCTGCGAAACCGTCGCCACTTTCGAGGGCTGCTGAGGGGCACAGCACAGTGGGTACTCACCGCAGACTCAAATTCGATCTCGCCATCCCTGGGGGGGCTGCGATCTGTGAAGCTGTCGCCACTTTCGAGGGCTGCTGAGGGGCACAGCACAGTGGGTACTCACCGCAGACTCAGATTAGACCTCGCCATCCTTGGGGGGCTGCGATCTGTGAAACTGTCGCCACTTTCGAGGGCCGCAGACTCAGACTAGACCTCGCCATCCCTGGGGGGCTGCGATCTGTGAAACTGTCGCCACTTTCGAGGGCTGCTGAGGGGCCCAGCACAGTGGGTACTCACCGCAGACTCAGATTAGACCTCGCCATCCCTGGGGGGCTGCGATCTGTGAAACTGTCGCCACTTTCGAGGGCTGCTGAGGGGCCCAGCGCAGTGGGTACTCACCGCAGACTCAGATTAGACCTCGCCATCTCTGGGGGGCTGCGATCTGTGAAATTGTCGCCACTTTCGAGGGCTCTAGGGGCACAGCACACTGGGTACTCACCGCAGACTCAGATTAGACCTCGCCATCCTTGGGGGGCTGCGATCTGTGAAACTGTCGCCACTTTCGAGGGCTGCTGAGGGGCCCAGCACAGTTGGTACTCACCGCAGAGTCAGATTAGACCTCGCCATCCCTGGGGGGCTGCGATTTGTGAAACTGTCGCCACTTTCGAGGGCTGCCGAGGGGTCCAGCACACTGGGTACTCACCGCAGACTCAGATTTGACCTCGCCATCCCTGGGGGGCTGCGATCTGTGAAACTGTCGCCACTTTCGAGGGCTGCTGAGGGGCCCAGCACAGTGGGTACTCACCGCAGGCTCAAATTGGACCTCGCCATCCCTGGGGGGCTGCGATCTGTGAAACAGTCGTTACTTTCGAGGGCTGCTGAGGGACCCAGCACAGTGGGTACTTACCGCAGACTCAGATTAGACCTCGCAATCCCTGGGGGGCTGCGATCTGTGAAACTGTCGCCACTTTCGAGGGCTGCTGAGGGGCCGAGCACGGTGGGCTTCCCGCACGTCTTTCTCCTGCTCTTCGTTCCCGACTCCCCATGTCCTCTTCGAGCCTGTAGCTGTCGCCCCTCTTTCTTGTATGGTTCTCCTGCACATCATGTCATAGGCGCGTGTCCCAAGTAGCTTACATATCAAACAACGGATCCTGCAATTTGATTGTCCATGCAAGTTTCGGCCAACTCCTCGTTTCCCATGATACAAATGGGTTGGGTACGTCGCCAGGGTAATTTCATGCTTTGGGACACCCAGAAGCCTGGAGCGGCCTCCCGGGGCCTTCGCGAAGACCTCCAGAGACCTCTGGAGACCCCCAGGGAGCTCCTCCGGGGGACTCCAGGGGACTCCAGAGAGGAGCGGAGGCTTCGAGAGACGTCGGGGACACCTCCAGGGGCTTCTGTAGACCTCAGGTCTGGGCGTCGTGGCAGCATC